TGGTCCTGGGGTGGTCTCTGGTTTTGGTTGTAGGACCTCGAGGGGCCTCTAGTTTCAGGTGAGCTGTACTCCTCACGCTATTCATGAAACACATCATCTTCCTGCAAGTCGTTCCATCTCGGTTGACTCTTTGACCCGTTAGCTTTGCGCCGTTTCTTCACCTTCAAAAGGTGACAAGTTATTTTATCGTACGCCTGAACCCTCTCCCCAATCTCCTCTGTGTCGAGGTTTCTCAGCTCATAAGCTAATCTTCTTCCTCCAGGGATGTTCAGGCATATTCTCTCCATCAACACTATCTGTTGTTCTCTGGCTATGTCCTCTTGGACTTCATGCCACACTAGAGTGAGGGTGGTTTGACCCGACTTCAGGTTGGCTTTAGCTTCTTCTTCCAGGATGTCACAGGACTCATCTCCTATGGTCGTGGTCACTAAGTCCACCACGTCGAGAGCAGTTTGTCCCGGTAAGGCTCGGATCAGGTATTCTTTACGCAGATACAGAGCGGCTCCTTCGGTGTTCAGCAACCAGCGAGGCACTGCTTGCGCCACTCTTCTGAGGTAGTCTCGGAGCGAGTGGCTCGGGTCTTTTTTCGGGCAGACAGAGCCCATGAGATCAACTTCTGCTTTTAGAGTGTTTAGATCGTGGACCTTGATCTCCGGAGCAGCGTGAAGTCCTCTCTGGTGGTCGGCACCTCCGTCTCCGGTCGTGTCCGGTCGTGAGAGTAGCTGCGAGGCTCGAGGGCCGGAGCGATCCACTGGGCACTCTGCACTGGTTCTACTGGGAGACGGGTTGAATGACAGGTCTGTCGCTCTCAGAGCTCTGATGCTGGTTCTCTGGAAGCAAGCGTCCGGCTCCATTATATCTTGTTGGGCCTCACATATAATTTGATTCCTCATGGCATAGTATTCTTCTTGGGTAGAGTGGTGGGATGCCCTGCGTGCTGCCATGTGTCTCTGGTTCTGCGTGGCCTGTACTCTCCACAGCTGAGTCCAGGTGAGGTGAGCTTCAGGTGGGCTCTGGAGGACCGGGTCGGCCTTCACACTGTCGTCACAGAGCAGCTTCCAGGCTGAGACAACAGATTATGATCACTTTTATTATTCAGTCTTCATAAATTTCATCCTTTTGTTTTCTTTACCATTGAGTGAACATAGGATTATATATATTGATCAATGAAAGAAATCACATTAACGGTAATACTCAAACACTATAAAGGAATAAAAAAGACATAATTATCACAAAGAGGATAAATAACATTACTAATAAAAGTAATTTACACTTTATGGTTGTAGCTTACAAGAGTCATGCTGCATAGATGTCAGTCAGTGGTGGAAACCACAGTAAGCCTGTAGCAATGTCAGCAGGAGCTTCAATCACAGAACGGCTCCGAGCGTCACTTCCTGTGAGAGGTGTGAGATGGTGTCACAGTCTCACAATGTCTCACAATGTTCACGGTATTTGTTTAATTCTATATTTGACAAGTCAATTAATTAAATGAATGAACTCTACAAGGAAATAAATACAGAGGTGAGGTTGGGAGGGGTGTGTCTCGGATGTGTTTGGTGGATACCTTAACAAAAGAAAGGATGAAAAGACAATAAGAAACAAAAGAGAGAGAAAAAAAGACTAAAAAAGCAACATTGAACACTCCGATCAATTGATGAAATTAAGCTCTTAATACTATTCATTGTTCATTTTTGTTGTCGTTATTCTTATTGGCATTATCTTTATGCCTCAACGTTAGTTTAATAACCAGATTCTTACGCTCAAACTGCTGCATACCGAAGTTCTCCTTCTTATACTTTCTCTGTAGGTTTCTCAGACCCGGATGAAGAGAGTGTGTGTGTGTGAGTGTGTGTGTGTTATCGGTTGTGTGCCGTTATGAGACATTTCTTGTCTCACAACGTTTAGGTATTTGTTTAATTCTTTATTTGAGAATTAATGAATCGATGAAGTCTACAAGGAAATAAATGGTGGATAGAAAGAAAGAAAACAAAGAAGAAATAAAAAGATAAAAGACAAAAAAGAAAGAAAGAAAAGACAAAAAGAAAGAAAGAAAAGACAAAAAGAAAGAAAGATGATAAAACAGACCTGTTATCATTGTGTGCTGTAGTGCAGATGTAACTCACCTAATTGTGACCAGAAGGTTCGTCTCCAACGATGGCCGACGAAGCGTCCCTATTTATACGACTCACAGCGAGAGAACGGACTCCACGTGACTCAGCCCCGTTCACTCCCTCACCTCTGAACTATGAGTCACTCCAACATCTCAACAAGCTGTGTCTATACGTTCACCTGATGGAACTTTAAGCATACGGTTAAATAACAGAGTCGTCTTTCAAATATATGTCACATCACTCTCAGTCCTTCCAACAAAAGAGAGGAGAGACAATGAGAGGGACAAAAAGACAAGAGAGAGACAGCAAGAGAGAGAGGGACAAGAAGAGTGAGACAAGGAGAAAGAAAGACAATGAGAAAGAGAGAAAAGAAATAAAGAAAAGAGACAAAAAGAGACAAGACAGACAGACAACAACAAGAAAGAAGACTTTGACTTTTGTTGTCCTTTAATTAAACATCTCACTTAAAAACACCAGGACAAGAAAAACTAGGAAGACAAGACACGTGAAGCGAAAACAAGAAAAAACAGACAAGTGAGAAAGACACAAAGAGACAAGAAAGAACGACAAGAGACGAGATAGAAAGACAAGAAAGAACGACAAGAAATAAGACACAGAGAGAGAGGGACAAGAAGAGAGAAGAAAGACAGACAGAAAACATCAAAGTAAAAGCCAACATGAGACTCTGAAGTTTGAACATTTAATCTGTAAATCAGAAGTCTTCACACAGACGTGATCTCCTCTGAACACACATTTATATATGTATACACATCAACTGACATGATTTAAAACGCACTACATTAAAAATGGCTTTGTCTTCAACAGCTCTCCTCTCACAAGTACTTCTGTGTACTTAAACACACTCGACTATGTAACGGAAACAAATGAAATCACTTCTCACGCGGATCGGGATGAAGGGAATCAGAAGTCATCTGTTGAACTCAACACGCAAAATACAGCATCAATATTCACAAATATATTGCATAAGGTTAGGTTTGTATATTCTTACTACGGTCGTGTTTCCACCTGTACGGGTAGGAGAAATGGCTTTTTAAGGTTTCATCATCTGCATCAGTCAAACCCCAGAGGTTCCATATAGCTCAGATACACAAAGAGGAATGTTCTCCAACAGGGTCACAAGTACTGTGAAGGGTACGCAAAACATGTTTGTGATACTTTGTATTAAGACGGGTAGAAATATATCGGATGTAGAGCAACGTTTCCACTACAGGAACTCAAAGAGGGCAACATGGAGTTTAAATAAAAGTCACTATCTCTCGCTGACTGAGCCTCTACGGCCACACTGAGGAGAGTACTGCAATATTTACATATCTGCAGTATTAAAAACTGTGTGCCGGTTGTGACATTTACTCAAAATAAAATCTTAATAAAATGTATTGGGGCCGTCGGTTTGTGGACTGATGTTTTGAAGCCTCCAGTTTGGCTTTTTGGCCGTCGCCATCTTTGCTATTTTGCAACCAGTCAACAGGAAGTGACCATATTAGGACTGAGGAGGAGGGACATAGAGACGGCGTATATGTCTCTGGTAGAGACCTGTCAATCACCGTGTAGTCCCGCCCTAAAGCATCCCCTGCTTTATGGTCCGTTTGACTCTACTGTGGAAACAAAAGACAGAATCTCGCACCAAAGCTCTTCAGATCCTCTAAAGCTCCGGTTGCGGGTGGCTAAGTTCCTGTAGTGATAAAAAACAACAACCTCTAAACAAACAAGTTAAAGCTAAAAGCTGACATGACCGGCTTTGAGGATTATTATTAAAATCTTCTGATTATGTTCTTCACATTTAGCTCTACAAGTTCAGTGTAAATCACAGTAAAATACCTGCGATGTTGATGTGATTCTACAGTAAATATTCTACAGCGTAGTTACATGTGAATCTCTAAACACGTGACATTCCTAAACACTATCGTTAGATTAAATGATTGACTTCTGATCAATCTATCAGCTTTTGTTCTACGAACTCAGAAAGAAACACTGCCATTCTATTGATCAGCTGATTGAATTTCAGATTGTTCTCATCCATGATATCTAATTCATAATCTCAGTTTGAGTTTGCGATCGAAGGCAGGAGAAGCCGATGAAATACTGCGACCTATAAAGTGCATAAAAGTGGATAACAGCGTCGTAACAAAACGATGACGATGATAACAGCTGCTTTGACAAACATAGTGAATACGGCTCCCTTACCGCCCTCTCCTGTGACAGCTAGTGTTAGTAACAAACAGCATCAAGAAGGAAACACTTAAAGGGTGATTCAAATACCTCTTTTGGTTAAAAGTCGCACATTGTTCTCCACTCTCGAGTTAATTAAAGACTTTTTGAAACGCAGAGGTGCATTATAAAACCAGACAACGTACAGTCACGCTGAATAAAAGTGGAGCATTAGGATCAAAGTGCCACGTTGAGTCAAGCTCATCCACCGCCTCCTTAAAATCATTAAAAAACACAAGGAGAAGGTTTTGCATTGCTTTGTGTGGCGGCGTTGGTCTTCGACGTACAGCGGAGGTCCAGCAGGAGACTCCTCAGTAGGGTATTTGGTTCTGGTAGTACTGCAGCATGTCGTACGTTTTGCTCCTGTTGAACAACAAGTTGAAATATGTGAGTTTGCACGTGTTGCGTGAGGTCATGTGAGGATCTGTCCACACGTATGCAGATTGTTTTTATACGTGTAGACGAGGCCTGAGAGAGAGGAGGGACTTTCTCATACCTGCTGCTGAGGAAACAGCTTTGGATGACTTTGATGATGAACGCTGCAGCTTCTTTCTCACTCATTTGAGGATTAAACCGTCCTCTGATAAAACAAAAGGAAAGATATCCATTAATGTTTGAACTCATTGATATCTTGGCCACACATTAAAAACACAACACTGACAACAGATACAGAGCAACACGAACATCAACAACAACATCTGATGAATATAAGTCCTATATTCTCTCTTTCAGCTCTGTTTTTGGTCTCCACCAGCTCCTGAGTTAAATATCTGTCTCTTTAGCTGCACTATGTTCACCAGCTGGTCTCTACCGGTCTGTCTGCTGTCTTATGTATTGCTGATTATTAACATGAATCAATACAGCAGTAATTAAGGTTGCCCCCAGATGTATTTGACAGACTGTTGGACTTACTTGAGGAGTTTGATGGTTTGTCCTCTGAAGCACGGCAGTCCAGTGTCCAGCATGAGGGTCACTAGAGAAACCACGGCGTCCATGTACGGTCTTTATGTTCGGAGAAGAAACAAATTACAACAAAAGTTACACAAAAGTTATCTGTGTAGATAAGTGGCTCATCTTTCTCCCGTCACAAAGCACGAGGAGGAGATGAACACACTGCAGGCTTCTTCTTACCGTACAGCCAGATATCCTCTGACGCACATCTCCATGAACCACTTGAACGGCGTGGCCTCCATCTTGCCTCCCATGATCATCACCATCTCGTCGGTCAGCTTGATGTCCGGCTCCCAGCCCAGGTTTCCTCCAGGAGAGCTCTCGAACATGAAGCCAAAGTCTGCAGAAAGAAAAGAAAAAGGACTTAGCAGTGGTGAACGCACCACAATGTAACTGAAAGGAACCTCCCTGTCGGAGCTCCTCTCCGTCATAGCATCAGCTGTTACATGTACAGTATATGAACCATACCTATGTGGATGAGGTGTCCCTTGCTGTCCAGCATGATGTTGCCGTTGTGTCTGTCTTTGATCTGCAGCAGGAACAGCAGGAGGCTGTAGGCGGCCATGCTGCGGATGAAGTTATACCGAGCCTGTGGAAAGAAGAAGAAGACTTCAGTATTTAATGATTTATAATAACAACTTTAAACTGTGTTTTAGTTTCACTGCTGCACAATCAAATGAAGCGATCGATTGGTTCACGAACACACAAATGTTTCAAATCTGCACACCTTCTGGAAGGCGAGCGTGGATTCGTCGCCGTACTGGTTGCGGAAGTAATCGTACATCCCGAAGTCCGTCTGTCGGCCGAGTTGGTCTCTGGACTTACAGTCGGGGATGCACTCGATCACGCCACACTGAGGAAAACAAATACCGGATTAGGAAATGTTTGGAAAAAGTTCCGGCCATCATTGCTTTCAGTCATGAGTTTTAAAAACGCCCCTAGTTTACCTCACACTCTGGTAGAGACCTGTCAATCACCATGTAGCCCCGCCCTAAAGCATCCCCTGCTTTATGGTCCGTTTGACTCTAAATGGACCATAATGTACTAAATGAACATCATGCTGTATTGAAGAAGACTTGAAACTAGAGATTGAGACCATAAACTCATGTTTACAATGTTTACTGAGGTAATAAATCAAGAGAGAAGTAGAGTCATTTTCTCATAGACTTCTATACAACCAGAGGAGTCGCCCCCTGGTGGTCACTAGAGAGAATTCTGTACAGATTGTAAAGCCCCCTGAGGCAAATGGAGGGAGTGATGGGACGTGAAGTCTTACCCCCGGTGCGGTGGCCACCACTCTGTAGGGGAAGACGAACAGGTCCAGGCCGACCAGCTGGAAAATATTCTTAAAGAGCCCAATGATCTGCAGAGCGAGCATGTCCTGGAGAGTAAAAAAGAAAAGGCAAGAGGGTCACAAGAGAAGCTCCCTCCCCTGAAAACGTCCCAGCGACCGAGCTCGGTACCTGTCTGCAGTCATCTCCCACTTTAAAGATGGCCGCCTGCCAGCAAATCCTGCGCGATCCGTCCGGGTTGTCCTCTCCGTCCTCCAGAGAGTCCTCCGGGCAGCGGAGACCCTCCCTCTCCAGCTCACTCACCCCACAGCGCTTCACCTTGAACTTGGCCAGGTAGGGCGCCTTGGCGGCACTGTGGCGACAGAGAACACAACATTATATGTGTAGGGGCCAATTAATCACACATTTATATTGGGTAAAAGTGTCTATGTTGGCATATTACATAAATCATTTAAGTATGAATATATGTATCTGTGTTTGCCATTTTCTTGCCATAAAGTGCAAGACTAGATATTTTGTTTTTTACAGGTAATGGTGCTGTAATTGGGTTTTTCCAGTGCACATGGTAAAGCAGGGTTTGTAAAGCCGTCACGCTAATAGAGAGTGAAGTCTGCTTCGGTCTGACCGTGTTTAGCTTGTTGTGACGTGCAGTGAAAGAGAGATAATCAATATATGTATATTTATCAGTAGAGGACCGGGCAAGATGTCTCCCCCGTTTACCTCTGCATGGGTGTTCCAGACTTGTAGTCGATGTCCAGCACGATGGCTTCAGGGTTACTTGGTAAGTAACAGCCTAAAAAACAAGTTTAGAGAGTCACGACGACGCAAATACTCATAATTCAGTAACTTAATGGGCTCAAAATGTTCACAAAACAATCAGAGACACTCTTAGACCTTCAATCTATAGAAGAAAATCTGTTTTCTGTGATCTCTGGAGAGACAATTCAGACTTTCTGTCTTTTTACAAGCTTATATACATCTTTAAAAATGTCATGTTTTCTCTGCAGCACAGTAACTGTTTGCTGTGTTTAATCCTCGCTATGGAAGAGATCGTCACCTGGCTGGACTTTGATGTCCGACAGAGCTTTGAGACACGCTCTCTTCCTCTCCTCTCCCTTTGGAACCGGCCTGGAAGATTAAAATAAACCAGGTTTTACATTTCACTGTAAAAACATTCCCTTGCCGGCTGATAATGTGCAGCGTCATGGTGCTGGGTTTACTTGAGGATGGCCGACACGTTGGTGATCTTGTTGAAGAAGTCGAACTCTCTCTGGTAGAAGTCTTTGGCCGGACCCGACAGAGAACCCGTGATCTCCTCTACCATCTGCTCCAGCAGCTCCCCGATGTCGGCTACGCAGAAAATGACGAGGTTACATCAACACAACTTGATTTAATGAGGCAGGAAAACATATCACATTAACATAAATGAATGCACAATTGAATGCATTATAAAGAAACAAATGAATATCTTGTAAACTATTTGATTCGGCTGCAAAATTATTACTCAAATGTAGATTTTTAAGACACGTCTGAAAAGCTGTATGCACCACCAACCGCCAACGCGCAGCTCGTGATTATGTCATTTTCTGTCACTTCCACCTCACGCCGGCTTCACCGCAGCGAGTACAAACCAAACCATTAGAGAACAAGCTGCACTCACGGTCTTTCTGGTGTCCCTCCTCGTCCATGAAGATGTTGGTCTTCATGTTCCAGATGAACTGGTGGGCGAGAAGCTGAGACTTCTGGGCCGCCCACAGGATGTACTCCCTCACGTAACCCATCTGAGCCGGACAGAGAAGCGGAGGTTAGTGCCACCGCTGCGTAAACGACGATCGAACCTTTAACAAATCGGCTGCTTAAACTGATCGTTTAAGATCCAGTAGTTTGTGTTTACCTTATCGTAACGGAGAGCCTGAACGATCTGAGGAATGTAGAACAAGATGGCGTCCTACCGAGAGACAACGTGACGTTAAAGAGAGCGGGGATTCTTCTGAAGTCGACTGCTAAAAGAAAACACGAGTGTGTGTGACTTACCGGGGGAAAGGAGCGCAGCACTTTAACCCCGTACTGAGCGGTGAGAGGGTGAGGAGGGTACATGCTGCTGAAGTAGGACAGACCGGTGGGGGGGTCCGCCGGAGCCCAACACAGGATGTGGCTCAGCTCGGGAGAGTCGGCGTCGATGGTGTGCCATGTCACCAGGAACTAGGAGGTAAAACCAGGAGAGGAAGTATGAATACACACACACACACACACACCTCCAAAGCTCATTGGACTGAGCGATCGCACCTTGACGGCCTCCGGTACATCACTGACGGCTCCGGGGTCCAACCTCACCAGCCGGGTCACTTCAGCAACAATGGCGTCATTCTTGAACCTGGAAACCAAGGAGTTCAAAATAAAGAATCAACAGCAACAATTATTTTAATGATTACATTTAAATCATTTTTGGGGGAGTGTGTTGACCTGGTTGGTAGCTGCATAGCCAGGTAGGGCGCGATGCCCCAGGCCAGGTTGACGTTGTCCTTCCACTGCTTCTCCGTCAGACTGATGTATTTGGACCTCCAGTTGGCGATGCTGGTCTCCACCGATTGCTCCGTGGAGATGGCCAGCTCCTGAGTGGAGAGCGGGTTGTACCACGTCGTCAAGCGCTCAATCTCACTGGCCTGGAGAGGGGGGGGGGAGAGAGAGAGAGAGAAGAGTTAAAACCAGAAACTCATCATCATCATCATCATCTTCATCTTCATCTTCCCTCACCAGTAAGGCCAGGAGCAGAGTCCTGCGTTTCATGTAGTACTTGTGGAGCTGCGTTCCTCTGTTACTCTTCTTAGACGTCCCTAAGATGTGGACGAGAGGGACAGACATTGGGTCACTTTAAAGACTTAAACCCTGAACTACACCCTCAGTTTTGTGGGTATTTATTTTATATTTTTTTACTCCCTAAATTTAAAATCTTTCCCCACGAGGTGAGAGGTATTTATCAAATAATCTATTTACTTGTTTTTTTCAAAACAGCTTCAATAACAAATAAATCTGTGTAATATCGTCCTCTGCTTCCATGTTTTTATGTTCCATCTTTAATCCTTAATGTTTCTGTCCTCTTTGTTTACATCTTTTTCTTTAAGTCTCTGGCTTCCACCGGTAACCCCGCGTTTAACGTCACAACGCTATGAATTGTGGGTAATTCCCTTTACGTTATTGGATATGTGGAGGCGAGACGAGCTGGTGATCAGCGGTACCTGACTTCTTGGACGTGGTGGACATGCCGCTGGACAGCGGGTAGGTGTTGATCCATCCCTGGCCGCTCTGCTGGGAGCGAACACTGGAGTCCGTGTTGCTCCGGAGGTCGGCGGCGTTCATCACCGACAGACTGTGCAGGGACGGGTCCTGGTTGTCTGATTTTCACACACACACACACACACACACACACACACACACACACACACACACACACACACACACACACACACACACACACACACACACACACATTTAGTATGGCCCGAGACACAAGCAACCAACTCATAGATGAAAATCTGAGCGAGAGAAAAGCACAGGTAGATGTTTCTTAAGCCGGTAAACATCCAGCATATGATCGATGATGAGGGAGTTTCTGAAGACTCCTCTGCTGTTGTGATGGTCATGCATTTGAAAGCAGGGAAACCAGCGGGATTTTACACGTAGGTAGAAGTTGCCTTGAACCACTGATACTGGGTCAGATATTATTTTGGAGGTCAGATTAACCTGATCCAGGATCAGCGGTTGGAGGACTCGTCTACCTGAAAGCGCTTTGATGTTTATGAGAATGAGATCGTTCCTTTTCTCTCAAGTCGTCGGGAATGAAGAGGAGAGGATGTTCTGGGGTTGGAAGAAAAAGCATTTCTCCTTTTGAAGTCGGAGTGGCAGACGGGCGGGGCTGACATGATGAATTATCGTGCATCTTAACGCGGATGACAAATTTGCGCTTTTTCCTCACAGCTGCTTTAAGGGAGAGTTTGGATGTTTAAAGTGTGTTTGTTTGAGGTTCTTCTCCACAGTCAGTGTTTCACTACAGTAGATGGAGCAAAGCAATGTTCTGCTGTGGACGTACTTTGTTCCATCTACTGTAGTGAAACACTGACTGTGGAGAAGAACCTCAAACAAACACACTTTGAACATCACGTAAACATTAAGGGTAGAAAACAGGTTGATCATAGAGGTATGAGAAGACAGAAGTAGGAGAAAGGAATAAAAGGGAAAGAAAGAGTTGGAGGGAGAAAATAAGAAGGACTAAGAAAAGACCATTGAAAGAAACTAAATCTATAAAAACAATCTAAAGCCGGGTTCATAACATAGACGGATAGATACCAGGATCTATCTGCAGCATCGTGAGGACAAACAGCGTCAGATTTGTCATGCGTATGTATAATAAAGCATGCCCCTGCGGCAGTGCAGTCCGAGCTCCACCGCTTTAGGCTTACTTAAGAGAGAAATCGGAGAAGTGCTGGACACGATAAGCGATCCGAATATCCCGGCAGAGAGCGTGCTCGGGGCCGGGGTAGTACCAAGCTCACCGGGTGGGACCAGGTGGCACGCTGCCAGGTACTTCTTGTCGGACAGGATGCTGGCGTAGAAACGGATTATGACGCTGATGTCCTCGCGGAGAAACTTGTCACCTTGGGTGGGAAACTTTGGAGGAGCGCTGGAGGGACAGAGAGGGGAGGGTTAGATCATAGCTGTATTATTCTCTGTGCTTTGAGTTAAATGCTAACATCAGCATGTTGAGCATGTTCGCCATCTTAGTTTAGCGTGTTAGCATGCTAATATTTGTGAATTAGTACGAATTCTACTTTCTATCATTTGTTCCTTTGGGTTGTTTTGGAGAAACCAAGCAGTATGAAGACATCACCTAAAACGTCTGGATAATATGATGTTGTATGGACTAAATTATTGTATAAAACCCCAAAACAACACATTAATTGATGGAGTGAATGTGTGTGGGTACCTGAAGTAATCAAAGGCTGTAGAATAAATCTTCTCTCGGAGCACATTTCTCACAGTTGAATTGGTGAGGACGTCAGAGTGCAGCAGAGACAGACCCAGAGTCAGCAGCCTGAAGCACAGAGAAACATATTAACACATCTTGCATTTAAAAATAAGAATAAACAGACATCAAATGAAAGGTAAGTAACATTCCGTATATTTATCTTTGAGCTTCGTGTGTGTTAAAGGACCTGAATCGAGGGCCGATGGCAGCTACGTGGCGGTTCAGGCTACTCTTCGCTCCTCCGACGTTGAGAGACAGTGACCGCTGCAGCAAACTGCCGAAGATCTCCACTTGATCTGCGCTGGAATACTTCGCTATCTCAAACCGCTGGCCAAGAAACTAGAGGGGGGAAAAACAACAGGGCCGACATGAGAGGAAACAATGGAGGAGGAGACGATCGATAAGAACAAGCAGAATGTGTTTTTTCGTCGGACCTCGATCCATATTTGGTGAGGGGTGACGTCTGGAGGGCAGGGGATCGGCTGGCTCTCCTCCGATGCAGCCAGAGGATCGGCCTCCACCTTGGCGTCGGAGAACAAGCCCATCTTAAGCTCCACGGTCATCTGCCACGCTCCCGCCATCTCACGCATGAACTACGGCAGCCGAGAGAGGGGATTTGTAGTTTATATAGAAGACGAAATGCATCAACAAGGACAAGAAGAAAGGACGTACCGGTACTTCCACTCCAACACGGGCTGCCAGCAGCCACTCCCAGCAGGCGATGGCCGTCTCCATGCCGTGGGCCGTGAACATCTTGAGAGGAGACCAGCAGAGGTGGTGCAGGAGCTGAGGATCGCAGTCTGGAGAGATCAGAGAAGAAGTCCAGAGCATTTTAGAGACAAGACAGAGCTCTGAATATAAAGTGGGGACACATGGAAGTAAATGTTAAATGCACAACGTAACAACTATAGAATAATGAAACCATCAGTGTTTAGAACGGACTCGCTTTTACTTTGAAGTTCTGTCTGCCAGCGATTTCGATCTAAAGGAAGATGAAGGCTCCATTTACGCACAAATGAAGTGCGTCAACTGTTAAACAACCAAAACCGGAAGTTGTTAGCTATCCCCGGTTACCAAAGAGTATCAGTGACAGATATTTGCAGTTAGTGAGACCTTTGCTGCTGATTAGCAAGGCGGCCAGTTTGAACATGGCCTCCGTCAAGGCCTCCGGCTGGGCCGAGTCTAAAGCCTCCCCCATCTGCTTGATCATCAGCCGGCTCAGATCGGAGTGTCCTTTAACCATCTGGGCGAAGTGGATCATACCCGACACCTACAGAGGAAAGAGAACACACTTGAGCAGGAGAAGCAGAGGTATGAAAACTTTATGTCCACAGGAGCCGGTCGAGTTACGGTTCCAATATCCATCACAAAACTTTCAGAAACTAAACATCTGTACAGTTTCTGTGTTTTACAAGCATATAGAATACAAGTTGTGCAGCTTATTTAGATAACAAATGTTTTGTGGCTGCACTAAAAGAGACGTTCTCTGTGGTCACTCATTTTAGAAGTCAATATGGTAATGTGGTAATGTGGTTTTACCTCTCCAGCGTATCTGTTCCTGAGGTTGAGGGAGGCCATGAAGTTAGAGTAGTCCTTCTTCACACAGGCGGGCCTCTCAGTCAGCTGAGTGGACTACAGGGGAAAACAAATCACTTTACTGAGCTCCTTTTCAGATGTGGAATATGAAACATTCTGTCGTCATCTATCTGTAAAAGTGACGGCTTTTTGTCATTCAGACATACTGCAGGCGTCTGTCCTTTTGGCTTTATTCAAACAGGGGCTTTACATACATAGACTGTAAGTATGTTGGATGTATATCACAAATATTTGGGCAAATGAATCTAAAATGATTGTCTCTGCAGAACATCATAAATGAAGAAACGGTGAATTAAGCAGCTCTAGTTTGTGGCGTCCCACAAGGCTCCATCCTTGAGCCATTTTAATTTCCACCGTAACCCAATGATCTCGCAGCATTAGTTAGCGGTAGCATATGAAAAGTCAGTTTTGTAACCTACCCCCAGTGTTATGCTCTGTCTGTTGTAACCGGCGAAGTGCAGGATGCTTTCTGTGGCCATGGCCAGACCGGTGTGCTGCGAGAGACCCGACACCCAGTTCTGATGTTTGTTCAGATACTCCTGAAAAATGAAGTAAAGCAGTTACAACCACGTTTAAGGCCACTATGTCAACTTTATTAAGCGTGTGTGCTCTACAGGTGGAGGTTTTCTTTAGTTAGATTGTGACGTAGTGTCACCTGGAGGTGGGATTTGGTCACGGACGGCGCCCACTTCATAGCCTCTTTAAGGATCTCCCCACAACGTGCAGCAAAATCCTTTACTATGCTCTGAAATTAAAGATATGATATGTATTTGGCGAGTAGCAACTTGGTGAAATGATGAATAACTGGTTCTTAATGAAGCAACATTACCTCTCTGGCTTCATACGTATCTGGGACGGTGATTCTGTGCGGCGTGTCTGGAATGTCGTAGTAAGGTTGGTCTTTATGAATGTCCTGCAATGAGGCATAAACATCATTATTAATGGTACACACACTCCGTTAGGCCGTCACAAACAGACCGCAGGAGATTGTTGTTTGCGTGATCCTGTTGAAATCAATCTAAAATAAAAACCATAATAGTTAGAGCATTCACTCTCTTTATGCAGAAGGAAAACTAAAGCTTCAAGTGCAGAGATCGCACCGGCGGACCACTTCTATTGCAGAGTTTACATATAAAGACGAGGTAGATGCTCCACTGATAGTTAGTCCACTTGTTTCATGACTTACTGCACTGAGTGAGAGGGAAAGCGTCTGCAGGATGTCCAGCATGGTCCTCAGCACACGGCCGCTCCACAACAAGTGGGGGAAACTGAGCAGAGAAGGAAAATACGGTTCATGCTTCTGTATTTTAAACAGCTTATAAGAGTCAGAGTTGTATTCTGAGTGAATGATCGCGTGCGTCAATGCTCACGTTTCAGCCAGGCCAGATAAGTATTTGTCAGCTACTCTGCGGATCCTCTTGTGGATGTGGTTGAAGTTGACCAAAAGGAACTGAGCGTGGCGCTCCAGCTCCTCCTCATGGGCTTTGGTTTTGGGCTGAAAATACGAATATTGTATAAAGATGTGGTCCGGACCGAAATGCTGATTGTTTTCTCAAGTAATCAACTAATTGTTGGGTCTACGATGAAATGTCAGAAAGAAGCAAAGTTTAGTTTACAATCATATAAAACAGAGAAAAGCAGAAAATCATCACATTTCAGAAGCTAGAGAATGTTTTTTTTAATAGATTATCAAAATAGTTGCAGATTAATTTTCTGTCAAATAACTACGACGATGTATAAAGCCCATTTTTTATTTTTTTTTATTTTACAGACAACAGAAAGTTGATCCATCTTTGCTCTGGGACGACATGCGATTCCTTGACCAAAAAAAACGTTTTCTTTTCTTGTAAATTTGTGAAAAAGCTCAGAGAATTTGCTGCACTTATCCTTTTATTTTCCAAACAAGTCAGACTTTATCAGTTTCTCTCTCTCTCATAAAACAGTGATTTATTCCCTCTGCACAGGAACACCTCACAACACATATTGTATGAACCAACTTTCCTTTATGTTAACGGCACAAACCCCGTGGTGCCATTCTTAGAAAACATCTCCTTTACCTTTTCAGCCATCATATGCAGGAAGACCTCAAAAACCTTGTCGCTAACGGCAATCACACACTGCATCATGCCTGGAATACAACATAGTAAATATGAATGCACATAACAAAGAAGTAACACCGCAAGCTTTATGCGTTCGTGTTCTCTTGCTCACCAGACTTATCCTTCTGTATCGCTCTGTCTTCAGAGTATCGGAACATGACCTGAAAGCGGTCTGAGTCCAGAGCGCGCAGCATCCTGACGGATAAAGATGGATTTAAAATGATATGAAGATCACTCACATGAGCCAGTGTGTGACATGTGGACACCGCTCACATACCTCATGTACTCCAATCTGTAGACAGACAGCAAATATGTGGACATGGCAAAGTCCAGCTTGTTGATGAGGGCAGACACTTCCGGAGGAGGATCCAGCAGGTTGATGATGGTGCTACGCAGATCGTTCAGCTCCGCCTGAGCCACACAACAACGAACCGTGAACCAGGGTCCACCTCATGTGCGTGTGTGTGTGTGTGTGTGTGTGTGTGTGTGTGTGCCGTCGTACCGCAGTGACGGTGTCGTTCTTCAGCGCCGAGTTGTACTGCAGCTCTGAGCGTAAAGGTTCCCCGCTGGGAAACGTGAGCAGCGGCGATTTGGTCGCAATCTCACAAACTCCCTCGTACCATTCCTCCGGCCACAGACCTGAAGATTAAACAGAATCACGACACACGACAAATTAAAGTGCGAATGCATTCCCTAATCCGACGTTGACTGTACCCGAGCCCTCCACAGCAAATCCCATGACCACAGAGTAGAGCCAGAAGTCCCTGAAGAGCTTCTGCAGACGTGGCTTCGCTTCCTTAATCGGTGGCAACCTCTTCGTCAGCTAACAGCGGAGGAAAAATAAGTAAGAGAGAGAGAAAGAGAGTAAATCTCTGTGGTTATTAAAGTACAGTAGATTTAATTCATGGGAAAGATAACTTATATTAGAGAAGATGAATGGTTGTATATGCAGAGAACACAACAGTCCTCAACCTCCTCTCAGGATTTATCAAGCAATCCGGATCCTTTTCATGTTTTTTTCCTTCTTGTTTGTATATGTTCTATAAAATAGTGTTCATTTAGGGTTTTATCACAGCGGTTCAGATGCTAATGAAGTGGACTAAACTGACCTGATTTGCTCGGTTTCCACTGACAAAACTTAACAGGAGAAGGTGATAAAAACACACTCACCACAGCAATAACTGGAACTAGGACGCCGAGGTTTCCAGCACTGCTCGACGCCTACAGAGACAAAAGAGGAGAAGAAGTCTAAAACAATCAACGTTTGAAGTCTCTTATTTTTGCTACTGCCGTCACTTTTCATGTTTCACAAGGAGAGAGCGAGAATCAGCCAACAAGACTACAAACAGGGTTTAGTCGTGTCTTCCTTTGCGGCCATTTAAAAAAGATTTAAACACTTTGGCCTTTAGATGAGATCATAATGCGAGTCGTCATCTGTCCATGTCTCAATAAATCTTATGCATATTGAACCCTTGAGCCTTACCTTCTTGTAAACATAATTTATTTTTCTGACTGTGAACAGACCTGGAGTCTCACCAGTTGTGTTTATTCTTATAACCTGAAAGATATTCTCTAATACGATGCACATCCAGCCAAACCTTTCATTGATAAACTTCCTTCTGTAACTGCACTCCTTTGCATTGATTCTCATATTTGTGTCTGTACGTTCGAGTGCTTCGTACCTTCAGAGCCGGGCCTTTGTCTGGAGCTCTCTCGCTGGCTCTCTTCCCCTCCAAACCCAGCTGGACAAAAAGCTCCAGCAGGTTGACCAGCAGCTCGTCGACCATCTGCTCAGCCTGCAGGTTCGCTGCTATGTTACCCAGAGCATTTATCACAGCCAAGGAGCAGTGTCTGCATACGGGAGAGAGGGAGCATCAATCCACCGGACTCTCACACTGTGAATAATACTCGGCTACATGAGGAGATTCTCCCACGTTATACATCACTTTCTTATGTACTCAACAACTCCTAAAGGACTGCAATTAGGTAATTTACGTACCTGTATCCATGGTCCTTGTAGTCTTTGTTAGAGTAGACCATGGAGCTGGCTTTCACACTGATCTGCTGGAATAAATTCCACACCTCCTGGTAGATGTATTGCTACGGTAAGAGAAGAGTTACGACGTTAGATATGCTCATGAAGTAGGTATTTACATAAACTGACAGTTTCTAACCCTCTGAACCCCAAAACCAGCCGGCGGGATTGGAAAACACGTTTTCTTCAAACAATCGCCAAAACTAAACAGTTTATCACAACCAGAAGCTGTAAAAAACAACATCAGTCAGGTTTTCATCTTTCCGACGGTCCTTGAACACATCAAGTGCGACAAACACTTACGTCAGAAAAAGCAGCCGAAGTGAAAAACATTTTATTCTACATGTCTCATTTAAAATACTGTCCAAAATAAACCATTTGCTCTAAAACACATCCTGTAAAAAAACATTGAAAGCTGAGCTGTAAGTAAAGATTGTAAAAATGTGACAGTCTAATATATACAGCACGAGGAGCCTCCATTGTTTTTCCAACATTTGTAACACTTAGAAACATGTTGAATATATAGATTCCAGTGTTTTCCTATTTCTGCAAAATAAATTTGTAATAAAAATTCAACTTGTGTTGTTTTCTTTTTCATGATTTATGTCATTATAACTGTATTATTCTGCACAAAAGACATGTTTAGTTCTCTCTACTTCTATTCATAATTGTTCTGTTTCCATAGAGGTTCAGGACTTTTATTTTGTAGTCAAAATCAAGGCCACAGAGAGAAAAATGTGGCAGGAGCTAAAAAACACCCCTAAACTTGTTGAGGGTTTGAATAGATAACAGAGTATAAATACGCACATTGCCCGTGATGACCATGCAGCCCAGCTGGTCTACGATGAGGACGTCCAGCTGGGAGGGAGGCTGGCAGAACTTCTGCTGGAGGATCTGGAGGATGGGCTCCATCACTCTGGGGGTGTCCCGTAAGGCCACAGCGATGTGACCCAAAGCCCTGATGGTGTGGTCCGGGATCAGGTGAGCATCTCTGTGGACGAGATGAGGGAACATCGGTTCAAAAATAAAGACTTTTAATTCTCGTCAAAGTCAGAGGACTATGTCGCTCGACTCACTTGTCGTTTTCCTGATAGATGTAGAGACGGTTAGACAGACTGGCGAGGAACGCTTCGACAATCACGTTGTCCATAGTCAGTCCGGCTTTCAGGCACCTGAACACAGAGAGAGAGAGGTGTTCATAACAGTGTGTATATCAGCGACTAGTTAAACGTGGAGCAAGATTAGACCTGAAAGTGTCATTTTCCTTCTATATAGTGTCTTCAATCATGAGCGATAAAGCTGCTCTTTACCATAAAGATCAGTTTGTGTTCTGTACTTTCATTAGTAAGTGACAGATAAAATGTTTAATAGATATAATATTCATATTCATAGTTTGTCAAGACGATGTTAGCAAATCTTACTTTTTTCTCCGTCTGTAGGAGAGTCTAGAGTCTAGACTCTAGAGTCTATTTCTAGACGACCAAAATGTTACAATTAACTTTCATGAAGTTAAAACACACTGTGAAAGGGTTAAAGTGGTAAAAGGAAAACACGGAAAACTCCCAGTCCGGACAACGCCGTGTTCAAGACCTGTCAATCACCATGAAGCCCCGCCCTAAAGCATCCCCTGCTTTATGGTCTGTGTGACTCTAAATGGACCATAATGTACTAAATGAACATCATGCTGTATTGAAGAAGACTTGAAACTAGAGATTGAGACCATAAACTCATGTTTACAATGTTTACTGAGGTAATAAATCAAGAGAGAAGTAGAGTCATTTTCTCATAGACTTCTATACAACCAGAGGAATCGCCCCCTGGTGGACACTAGAGAGAATGCAGCTTTAACACAAGAAGCTTTTCAGAACCGGAGATTGCCCCCTAGTTTTGACTTGAACGAAATTTATATACTACATAAAAAAAACAGCCAGATATATATTTTTTGTTTAATTTTAACCAAATATTTAAATGCTCTGCCTGCCTCATTGCTCAGGCGTCTGTGGGTGAACTCACCTGCAGATGTTATCGATGGAGATGTCCCTCAGCTGTTCGTACATGGACGGCTGGCTCTTCTTGCTCGCATTGGTACTGAGGGTTGACTGGGAATGTTCGTTGGTCACATGGATCTTTATCTCACCGCCCCCTGAAATAAAGAAAGTAGTATTTTGGTAATAAAACATTGAACTGGAGGTAACGACGCTACTGAATGATGGAGTGTGCTGTTGTCACCTGAAGCGTACTGGCTGTGGTATTTGTACAGCTTCACCAGAACAGGAGACGGCACCACCAAGAAGTCTCTCAGTGACGTGGTGACAGAGTGAGCCACCACGGGGAAGCGCTCACACAGACGACCCAGGCCCTGAAGACACACACGCGCGTGCACACGCACACACACACACACACACACACAAAACTGTTTATGTACTGTGTTTTAAAATATAATGCAACATGTCGGTGTGCATGAAAATGGGAGGTGTAATCATGATCCAGGCAAAGGTTCTCCTCTTTCATAGTTGAAAGTTACCTGTAAGCAGCAGATGAGGAGCGGCATGTGAGCGATGATGACTTTACTGGACGTCTTGGACTGCAGCTTCTCTGACAGTTTGGTGCAGAGGTTCTCAGCTCCTGGTGACAAAGAGAGAAGAGCTGTGACTCCTGAGACAGACGGCGTCCTGTGTCCTTAACTAAAGCGACTGCTCACCCTGCTCCTCGGTCACGGCCCACACCATGAGGTCCACACAGGCGGCGTTGGCCTGGCAGCGCAGCTTGAGCGGGCTCAGTTCGCTCTGCAGGTACTCGACGTCGTGCAGGATCCTCTGCAGCTCCGACTGGCTGCTGCTGAACTGCTCCAGCACGAAGTCGTGGACCTCCTTCACGTAGTCCGTCTGGAGGTCTGGAGAGCACACCGTTACAGCTTGCCCTCGTTTTTTATAATAAAATGCGGCTGATTTAAAGAAAGAGGGGGATTCCTTTACCTTTTAGATTGTACAGAGTGTCTCTTAGCATCTTAAATATGGCTACGTACAGAGGATCACTGAAGGTTTTGTAGTAGAGATGAAGACTAGGATTCAACTGACAAGAAAGAAATATATCAATGAAGCAGTCGTGTAAATACATAAAGATAAAGAGGACAAACATCTGGAGAGTCATACCTCTAGAAGTTCTGCCAGAGATTCATCCAGTGATTTCAAAAACGACTCGGACACAAACTGTTCCACCTATTGGAGAGAAACAAGTCAACGAAATTGCGTGTTGTCTCATTTTTTTCCTCTTACTCGAATGCATCTGTGGCTGCTGACCATGTGGAGGAGCTGTCTGAGCATATCCAGAGGGACGTGAAACTCTCCAGCGCTGCTGCCGGTGAAAAGAGGGGAGACGGAGAAGCTGGAGCTGATGGTGGAGAAGTAGTAGTTGGGATCCACCGCGCTGCCATCGGGGAGGTACGAGCCTGGAGAGGGAAAGCAGGAGTGTTTAGAGGGATCGTTCTGGATGTTTTAGAGCGTTGGGTTCTTCTCCACAGTCAGTGTTTCACTGCAGTAGATGGAGCAAAGCAATGTTCTGCTGTGGACGTATTCTAGACTCCTAAAGGAATCTGTATCAGTTTAAGTGAACGTTATGTTTAGAATGTTTTCACAGCTTCAGCTCCCTCAGAAAGGTCTGTCTGACATCAAGGTAAAGAGGTGAAGACATTCTAAATAAAGCGTTCACTTAAACTGATCTTGATTCTTTTCGGAGTCTAGAATACGTCCACAGCAGAACATTACTTTGCTCACGTGCTGGTACTTCTGTCTCTTTCTATAAACTCTACTGTAGTAATACACAACACTGATGTTGAGCCTAACAGCCTCGACTGCTTCTCTTCGGGTACTTACCTTCAAAGTACTGTGCGGAGGGGTCAGCAGGTGAGATGGGGGTCAGACAGGCTCTCTCTGGACTGGCCTGCAAAACACAGTAAAAAGTATTTGTGAAAATCATCTCTTTTTGACGAGTTAGGTTCAGGTTTGTTCTTTACTTTCCTCAGATTGATCCATACCTGTTGACTGGAGCCTTTCCGTCTCAGAGTGTCTCCCTGATACACGGTGAGCAAAGAGCTCGGCAGGATGGAGCGGAAGTCATTGAAGGACCGGCGGTGCGTCGCGTCGCTGTCATCGGCCGAAGGCGGCGCCGGAGTCACCGGTCGAGGGAACAGCTTGGACAGTAACGGCTCGTCGGTGTTGCTGTATCGGCCAAACGCTCGGGCAACACCGAGCAAGGTGGGCACAGTGTACCTGCACAGGTTTTCTGTACAGAAGAAGGGTTATGGAAGGTAGAGACTATATTACTGTGAAGCTAAGTTACATACAAAGGAAGCAGGAGGCGTATTGTGTTGGTACCTTTATCATGAGTCTCTGGATTCTTGCAGATGTCTTGCAGGACTTGCATGATGTCCATGACCGCCTCCAGGATCTGACAAAGATGATACGTCATAATTACGTCAAGATAATCATTTAAAGGGGAAGCTAGTTTTATCAAACTGGACCCTATTTTCCCATGTTTTTGTGTCTTAGTGACTTGAAATTGGCCGAGTATTGAGTGAGAATGCTGCAGCCGGCAGCAAGGACACCGGGAGCGAAACGGGCTGCAATGCAACTATTCCGGCCAATTCTGCACCGTCAATGTACGTCCACAAGATGTGCTCATTTTGGCCACTGATTGGCTCAGTTTGTTATTAAAAGTGTCTGAAAACATTGTGGAACAGACTCTACATAGAAATCATTATCGTGTCTAACACAGTACTCCTGAAGGAGAAGTCTCACACAAGGAGAATACTTGTTCTAACGTCATCTGCGAGAGTGTGAGTGAGGAGTCTTTTCACAGCCAGCATGAGGAGGAGGAACAATATCATGAACCAAAAATACACACATATATATGAACACACACACACAGACACACACTAACACACCTGTCCTCGTAAGGTCTCATCCCGTTGGGCAACGTCTGAGAGGAGAGTTACGAGACCAAAGGTGAAGATCTCTGCGACAGGAAGTGTCTCTGCAAGACACAAAGTTCAGCAGATATTAACAAACAGCACCCTAAGTGTAGGCATCCATACTCAAAGCGTACTGAACAACACAGGATTACAGTGAATATTATAGGATACATTTCATGACACAGGTGTATCGTTACCTCTTCCTTTGCGTTCTGAGCTTTCTTCAATCCACTGAACCTTAGGAAGCCCTTTAAGCAACCCGAGAAGGTACGGGACGATAGCATCTTTGTGCTGCAACACAAGTATTTTTCACAGCATGTGATACGAGGGCTTCACAAAGGAAACCACGAGGCTGGAGAGGTGAGTCGAGAAACAAACCATGTTTACCTGCAGGTCTGACTCAACCAGGAAGATGCCCAGAGCGATGACGGCGTCTCTCCTCCTCTCGTCCAGCTGGAAGACTCCTCTGAAGTCCACAGGGCACATGCATTGTAGCTTCTGCACCTGCGAGAGGACGACACACACATCACATCTTCATCTTCATCACATCTTACTGCTGACTTCAGCTGGAAGCATCAGCTGTTTGGATGAAACAATATTTTAACGTCACATCGCTCACATCGTAGCTCCATTAGCGATAATGAATTTCGTTTTTTGCATAATTGTGCTGCAGGAGTCCAGCCAAACCTGCCTCCAGCATTAATTAGCCTAATGCTAAAGGGCCAGACATAAGCTGTGAGATGGATTTATCCACCGTTTGTTTTATGCGATACGCAATGCAGAGGAGGGGGAATTTGTGGAGTAACGAACATTGGATTTGAAAAGCTAAAGATCATGTTTGTCGAGCAAAAACAGTCAAATAAATAAAGAGATTTTTGGTTCAGTTGGTTGTATGTCAAAGCTCAACCTGCTGTGTTTAGACAAACACCATGTAAACCTCTTAGTGAGCCACAAAGACTATGGAAACAGAACATTTTAATGAAGAAGTTGGAGCTGAACCAATAGGATACTTCATCACACAAATTCTTCCTTTTTAAGCCGGTAAAATACAATACATTCTTAAGTATCGGCTTTTCTGGCGCCGACTGAAAGGAGGTTATTGTACAAACAATGAGGCCTCTGTGTGAAACAAACCCACTAAGACGTTCACAAACTAATCGGCTCAAACGATAATCAATAAATCGATTCAGTTGATGGGCTGATACTTAATAGGAAAACATTTTAATGTGCTGAAATGAGAGGGTTAGCTGCTGTGCTTCGTCATGTTTGATAGCAAAGTGAATATGAGTTCTGGGTGATTATATTAGTATTTTTTTCACAGTTTCCTGATATTTTATAGACTGAACGATCGAGTGATTTAGAGAAAATAATCAGCAGAATAATCAATAATTAAACATAGTAGTTATAGCTCGACATATTCTCGGTCAAAGAGATAGATGATGCTTCTAGCTTATGTGCTTATGCAGACCTTCACAACAAGCACAATTCAAAAGACTTTACATAGAAATATAGTAAAAACAGGAAGACGTGCTCCACTCACACAATAACACAATGGGAGGACTTCTCACTGTGTTACTGCTGCCACAGTTACTTCATCACACGAAGCACATATTGAGCTATACTTCCTGTTTTAGTTCTAAATCATTTCCCCATTTTAAACCTCAGTGGGTGTATTTTCTAAATCACTTCAAAAGTTGTGGCCACGCTGTAATCCCCGACCACAAATCCCAACCTCCTGAGTGAGGATCACTGAACCGCATTATTCCAACAATTTGAGTTTCAGCCATAGAAATTCAACTCTGAAAACTTTCTCATGAACATTTCTTCATCAAGCATGTTTCGCAAGATGACACGATCACTTCTTGTGGGTGGGACTTTAAGCTGGTGGCCTCTTGTGATTGCTTAAAACTGTCTGTCACGCATGCTTGATGATAAATCCTCTCGTGAGGTATTGAAGGTGATATGGAACTTATTCTTCCTCTTTGTCACGGCCAGATTAACCTGTTTGGAGTCCCTGTTGCCTCCAAGTTCCCCTCGATTGCACACAATACACTAGAAATAACAGCTGGATTTTGCACACACACACACAGAAACCAACGAATACCTCCTGTTGTATTAAGCTTTAATTTAGTAAAAACGCACCATATGAGCATAATATAGACAAAAATATGAAAGGTTTTATAACTAGATTTTGATGCAGGGCCACGAGACCACATAGTAAACGGACCCAGCTGATTTGGTGCAACATCCCAGAACAATTTCAAAGTAATAAAATTAGCAAAAACAAACTGTCACACAGTGAATCTGGGACTTTAGTAGCCCCGAGGGCAGCTGCCCGGTTTTGCTTTGATTGGTGATTTAGCCTCTCTCCTCTGAGCTGTTCATCTCATTCACTATCGATTCACTATCGATTGCTGCTGCCAGACATAATCGACAACTTGTCACTCGGAAAATGCTGCAATTAGTTAAAAGATACATTGATCCACTCCTCGTATCAGCAGGTAATATATTTATTATTTAGCAGCAATTGCTTCCTTGTTTGGAGACAGGAGCACTTGATTTGAAAACCTGTAGAAATCACTACAATTGAATAAATAGTTTTATTATAAATGAGGAATATAGGACACTGTTGTGTGGACTCACACGTTATATTAACATTCAGCTTTAAATCAGACGTCATAGAGCTGCAACTAACAGTTACTTTAGTCATGAATCTGAATATTATTTTAATCCATTGGTAAGTATTATAAAACAGTTAAAAGTTCCCTTTGCCATCCTGTATGAACGACAGCCAAATCAATATTATTTTGTGTTATTTATTGGTTTATTTGATAAGGGACGGTGCACATTAATAAAAACATTGCTGTAAATGCGTCAGCGTTAAAGCCAAGAGGCTATTTTTTAATTTGTAGTCCCAGAAGATAAGATTCAATTTACAAAGCTATGCAATATTGACCCTTTAAAAAGCGTGCAGAAACTATGAAAGAAGTGAGAATATTAATATAAGTAGTATCATCATTCAGGAGACTGTTAAACTACGCTGTCAAGTACTAACAAGACACATTCAACACACACAAAGACAATAAAATGAGAGATAACTATGTTGAATAGAAACATGGAGTAAAGACAAGATTATGCTGCATTGTTAGACACTAAAAACAGACAAGACAGGTGACAGCAGACAGACAGAGAGACAGGTGACAGCAGACAGACAGAGAGACAGGTGACAGCAGACAGACAGAGAGACAGGTGACAGCAGACAGACAGACAGACAGGTGACAGCAGACAGACAGACAGACAGACAGGTGACAGCAGACAGACAGATTGATGTCTTTGATAATATTGATTATCAAATATTAATTATTTGACACATCAAAGTCGTTAGTATTAACCTGAGCAAAGATTAGCTATCTTACAGGTTCAAAACAGCTAACGTTAGCTACCTTTGACGTCACAGCTACAAATGCTCACTGAGCCGCCATGTTTTTCGACAGGTACTAGCTTGTTTACCGTAGTTTAGCTAACGTTACCTTTTCTATCGGAGCCTGCCGGTGAGCCGCCAACGACCGAGCCAGAGACAACACGGTGTTGAAGTAGAACCCTCTGCTACCTCCTCCATTGAGAGACATGTTGTTTTAAAGACGCCTTATTACCGCCACAGGAACACAAACATCTTCTTTCATTCAGTCCCGAGGAGCAGTGGCGGTCCGCACTGACAACTACGGCAAGCGCGAGGTGGTCAAAAAAACGCGAAGCAAGGTCACGGTGCATAAATGATAAGAACACGTACATTTACTCAAGAACTGTACTTAAGTACAATTTTGCGGTACTTTACTTAGTATAGGCATTTTATGTTACTTTATACTCATACTCTACAACATTTCAGAGAGAAATATTGTACTTTTTACTAGTACTGGATTGAGCATCCCAGAAGTATAAGAACCTCTTAAATAAGTTTGTTACCAGCTGCAACATAAAAGTGAACATATTGATGCATCAATAATTATAAAACACATTATTCTGAAATGAACCATTCTGCATAATGAGTACTTTTATTTTTGGTGCTTTAAGTATATTTTGATGCTTTTACTTTTGTACTTTTATGTAAACTTTTTAATGCAGGACTGGTACTTGGTCCTGGGTCTCCAGCAGCGTGGCTCCTGGAGGAGGAGGAAACGCTGCTGCTGAGCTGGGTCTGTCCACGGTGGACCGGTCTCTGCTGGAGGATCTGGGTCTGTCCACGGTGGACCGGTCTCTGCTGGAGTCTGAGCTGAAGGAGTTTCTGGTGAACCTGCATGAGTTCATCTGGTTTCACCAGAATCCGACCCGGTGGCTCCGATGACGAGCATTAAGAGTAAGAAACAGACCATCTTCTCTCTGATGGTCTGTTTACTGATGGAGGTCTGATAGAGGATCAGGACTACACTGAGACTAGTTCATATAGAGGATCAGGACTACACTGAGACTGGTTCATATAGGATCAGGACTACACTGAGGCTGGTTCATATAGAGGATCAGGACTACACTGAGGCTGGTTCATATAGGATCAGGACTACACTGAGGCTGGTTCATATAGAGGATCAGGACTACACTGAGGCTGGTTCATATAGGATCAGGACTACACTGAGGCTGGTTCATATAGAGGATCAGGACTACACTGAGACTGGTTCAGGACCAGATCAAAGTTCATCACAGTAACTTTAAGTTGTTGTTAAATGCAGGACTTTTACTTGAAACAGAGTATTTTATTACTGTGGTATTAAACTTTCACTTTAGTAAAATATCTGAGAACTTCTTCCACCACTCCTTATAGTGATAAATAAACACGACAAAATGAACGGTCTGATCAAATGTTTATTTGTGAGCATACTTGTTAAAATGAATTCGACTGAAGGCACAATACTTGGTTTTCATTGTTTCTTTCATGTCCTAAAGATATTTAAATATATGACATTGAGTCTACACACAGCAAGCTGGAGTAAACATTTGTAAAACAATTAGTAGCATTGCAGGCCAGACTCACACGCTACAAACTGCAGCCCAGAACATCGCTCTGAGCAGAAATTGGCACATTGGCTCGTCAGTTGGTGTAAAAAGTAAAAAGGCAATAATTAAAGTTAAAAATTTAAAACAGAATCTGCAATAAAAAGCAATCTTCAAGCACTCGTCCTTCCTGGAATGAGATGGAAGGCACTTTTAATGGCACTTCTCAATCAGGCAATTTAAAATGAAAAAGCAAAAATTCATTCAAAAAATAGCTTTGATGAATTTAGAAGATACGAACGTCTCAGAAATACCTCAGAAACCGCCTGGAATCAAACACCCGGCACCACCGCAGCGTGTGCAACAACATTAAAACATCTGTAGTCACTAAAGCACGTACAACATTCAATCATCCTTTATCTCAACAGATCTCAAAATCAATACATAGGCACTTTGTTTTTAATATAGCATCTCGTAGGTTCATTGATTTAAAACATCTCTGCAAAGTAAAGTTGAACACCTCAACAACTGTTTAGTGGAAATGTGCATTTCTAAAGAAGTTGTGTAAATAATTAATAAAAACCTGCATCTCTATGGATCCGACAATCGTGATTTAAGGCATTTAGTTCTTAATGTACCAGTCGCCTCTGCAGCGTAAGACGTCTGAACATTAAATATTTCATCAGATTCTGGAATGAAATAATGAGTTTGAAAGAAAATCTGCATATAAAGAGGGCTTTAAAATCTTTCATCTCTGGTATAATCTCTCAGCTCAAGTATCATTTCTTTGTCAACAGTGTCTAAATCACATTACGTCGGGTATTGGTGTCTCTTTATATTAAGTCTATAAAAGTGTTTGTCTGCGCTGACAGTGTTCCCGTTCCTCAAGTCAATCTGAGTGAAAGCCTCGTTCCTCCTCCCTGAGCTCTGAAGGAACGACCCCCTTTTAGAATTTAAGAAAAAACAGCAAGTGGAAGCAGCGACTCTGCAATCTGGAGCTTCTTTCTTTTTTCATGCAGAGAACGGTTCCACTTGTAGTAGCTGAGTTATAAATAAAATCAAAGAACAAACCGATCCCTTTCTCTTCTCTAGAGGTAGATATCAGAACCTAGACTACTGATGTGAACGGGTGTCCTGAAGCTCTCGCTGTCGTGTCCGCTTCAGTCCGTCTTCCAAACTTTGTTGAGAACCTTCACGACTTCCTCGTAGATGATGAAGACGATGGCCACGTCCATGCACACCCGACCCAGCCGAGGCACGGTACCTTTGTAGAACCTGAATGGGACAAAAGAAAGTATGAGGTTTTAAACACTTATCACAAAAATCTGGTCGCCTTTCTACACAAAACACCACAATAGAATTATATGGGATGTTACACACAATGTTTCTGTATGTACAACATTCCCAAATTTGGGTACTTGGATCATAAACTGTACATCAGAAGTGGACGTAGTCGTCGTGACGTCACCCATTGGTTTGTGGCGATTTGGCCGTAGCCATCTTGGCTTTTTTGCAGCTAGTGATCAGGAAGTGACCATATATGGACTGAGGAGGAGTGACGTAGAGACAGCGTATATACGTCTCTGGTAGAGACCTGTCAATCACTGTGTAGCCCCGCCCTAAAGCATCCCCTGCTTTATGGTCTGTGTGACTCTAAATGGACCATAATGTACTAAATGAACATCATGCTGTAGTGAAGAAGACTTGAAACTAGAGATTGAGACCATAAACTCATGTTTACAATGTTTACTGAGGTAATAAATCAAGAGAGAAGTAGAGTCATTTTCTCATAGAGTTCTATACAACCAGAGGAGTCGCCCCCTGGTGGACACTAGAGAGAATGCAGCTATAACACATGAAGCTTTGACTTCACTCTTCAGACCCGGAGGTTGCCTCTGACTTGGATGCATTCTGGTCTCAAGACAATTCAAATTCATGCTGAATTATTGATGTGTAATGAGTGTGAATCCTTTAAAGACAGGAGGCCGACTCTGCTGCAAATTACCGCTGAATAAATGCTCGTAAAGTGATTCTCCGTAAATCAACTCCGTCTGTAAACTTACGCCTTCGGTCCCTCGTGCTTCATGATCTTGACGGCACAGTCCATCGTGCTTTTGTACTTGTGAGCATCAAGACCCTGTTAATAAATAAACACAAGGACACGTTAGTCAGACGTTAAAGATGTGAGATTCTTCCAGCAGGTGAACATAGAAACTCAACCAACCTGCATTCTGGTCTTAATGACGTCCAGCGGAGTGTTTCCAAACACACTGGCAGCTCCAGCAATGGCTCCAAACAGTCCCGTTAACAGAGGGTTCATGGCTTTGTTGGGGTCGTCGCCTTTAGTGTTTAAAAAGAACAAACAAAAGATGGTTCTTTGCCTGTTTTTTGGGTTGCATGAGGTGATTATAAAAGAGATGGAGGTGATTGGCTCACACACCTTTGTACCAGTTCCTCAGGGAGGTCATGACGTAGAAGCGGATGGCCTGGTTGGAGCCTTGTTTCAACACGGTGGCTGTGAGGCCTTGGTAGGTCCCCTTCAGTCCTGCAGATACAGGATCAAGACCTTCATCAAAACCAGAACCCTCACAGCCCTCAAGCTCAGGATCTAAGGCTGAGGCTGCGCAGGGATACTAGAATCTACTGAGAGGCTGCAACTTATTCAAAACTCTAATGCTCGACTGCCAACAAGAACTAAAAAAGAGTTTCCAGCTCTTATTCATCCGTTGAAATGTTTTAATTACACTTAAACTAGCATGCATTTTGCACCGACATTATATCTGTAAAAAGGAAGGATTTATATTTCTATATATGTTTTAAATGTACAGCACTTTCAGATACTTAGTCTGTATGAAATGTTCCTTATAAATAAAGATTGTTATTATTATTAAATGAAGAGAAGATGCAACACATCCTGCACGGATGAAGACACCGTCCTTACCTTCAACTCTAATAATCTCCCTCACTCCATGGTAAAAGCCCTTGTACTTTGGGTTTGCTGATGTCTGATCGTGGATGAATTTCACCTAAAATAACATCATAACAATGATTAAGAAGAATCAAAAATGAATGCAGAAACCCTTTAAAAATCGGAGGCATGCAAGTTTCTGCAAACAGAGTCAGAAACAACATTAACAACATTAAGGATACTGTATTTGCATGAGAGGACGCTGCACCTTTAACTTGAGAGGACTGGACGAGTGAAAGTGACACCTGGTGGCAATAATCCATAAACGCATTCTTAATAATGTTATTTTTTTACCTTAACGGTCTCCATGGGACAAACTACAAAAATGGCCTCTGCGACTCCGGCGCCGAGGCCGCAGACGAATCCTCGCTTGCTGTCCAGCTTTCCGTTTTCATCGCGCATTTTATTACTGATGAACTCAAACACCCCGAATCTGAAGCAGAAGAAGAAGATCAACGACTCAAAACAGAAAGTAATCGGCACACATTGTGACACAGCAACTACTACACAGGGTTCATATGAGACAAAGGCTTTGCTCATGGTTATTGGTCATTAATAAGCAGAACTTTTTTTTTGTGTATGCAGGTGTGTGTGTGTGTGTGCGTGTGTGTACAGGTGTGTGTATACAGGCGTGTGTGTGTGTGTGTGTGCGCGTGATCAGGTGTGTGTGTGCGTGCATGTGTACAGGTGTGTGTGTGTACCTGACAGCTGCTTTGGGTATGGATCCGTACACCAGAGAGCTCAGTCCTCGGTACAGACCCTTCACTCCGTGACCGTTCACCGTCTGCTTCACACAGTCCGCTGCAGGAGACACAGAGTTAATTCTATAATCACATCATGAAACATAATCAGCTGCCCCGTTATCAACCTCTCGCTTTTTAAAATGGTTTTATTTTAGTCTTTATTTTGGGACAGAAGCTTAGATTATAAAACATGTCGGGGGGGGGGGGGGGGGGG